AAGTTGGGAAGAGGAGGGTTATTATAATCAGATCTTGTTCAAGCGTAAGGTCACTAAGGCTTAAGTTTCTGGTCCAAAACAGTAATGGGACAGTGATCTCACTTTGGTTTCATGCTGCTCTTGGTGGGATATTGTACAGCCAAGTATTTTACCTAATTTACGTCATTTCATCATGGCCACAATCAGTATTAGGCCTTATAGCTCTCCTGCCAAGAAAAGAGAAGTAGTTTGCCCAAGGTTACATGGTGATTAAAAGGAACAGCCAAAATTTGAGATTATTTCTGAGTAGAAAACCAAGCCCACGCCATTAAACTTCTCACTTTGCATTTAGGTCCTTCTCCCTTCAATCAGCACCTATGTTCCACTGCTATACAAATCTTAACCATTTTGTACAGGGTTATTGACCAGATATAAAGTAATGAATATTGAAATAAAAAAGCTAAGTTGCCAGTTATCATCCTGGAAAATAAACAGCTGTTGAAGCATCTTTTGAAAGTCAGTTGGATACACAGAATCAATCTGTAAAGAATCATAGTTTGACAAGGCTAATGTCACTATAAATTCTACTTATTTTTCCAGCCTCAAATTGAAAAATCATATATTCTCTGCCTCTCTGTTCAGTAAATCAACAGAAGTACCTGATTGATTCTGATTTTCTTTGGGAATACTCCAGAGACTGAGGAAGAGTCTCCTCTATTTTCCTCATCTTTAGGCACATAGAGGAAATTGCCATTGTCAACTGCATCACTTTTGGGGAGTCGTTTTAGTGAATGTAAGTTGAACCCTTTTTGACTGGTTCCCTTATCAAGGGGAGCACAGTATTCTCCAGGTCAGACAGGCCTTTCTGGATTTGAGCATTGACTGGAAGACATGACCTCCCAGAACTCTGTGTGTGTGTGTGTGTGTTTGTGTGTGTGTGTGTGTGTGTGTGTGTGTGATACATAGAGATAAATACTATGTATTAATCTATCAACAGTCCTTAGTTGTTTTATTACAGCACAGTTCTTTACAGCATTACGGAGGTCAGGGCTTAGTTCTGATTCTATCGATCATTAGCTCTCTGACTGAGGCAGTCTTTGTTAACATCACTGCTTCTCATTGGGCTCACTTGCAAAATTTAAGGAAAAAATTAGAAAAACAATCTCAATAGTATTACAAGTTCTCCTGTGCATTTAAGATTTTTTTTACCCTATAATGAGGTTGGGGAAAGTTGACAGTGTGCCTGGAGGTAACTGTGGAGTGCTGCTCAGTGGAAAGTTGTTCCTGAGTTTTCTTCCAGTTGTTGTCCTTCTAATGATACTATAGGAAGTTATATAAATCATTCACTTCTAAAATCACAGCTTGATTTTTCTTCCATCTGATTTTTGAGAAGCCCTCAAGTACTGGATTCTGCCCATTGGGAAGGATAATCCTGAAATGCCATCAAAAAGACATTTATAAGAGTCAGAAAATCCACCAACGGGTCAGAACATTTCTCCTATAGCACTAGGAGAGTGTGTGATTCATTTTATCTGAATAATTAAGGGTTGGAAATAAATCTATATTTTTTCCCATGCTTTGGCATTGCATTTACAGGTATATGGCTTTGCTAATTTATTTAAGGTCTCTTTAATCCTCAGTTTTCTCAATAATGAAATGAAGACTATAGATTTAAATTTGTTTATTTTTTAGTTTTATTTTTGTATTTAGGGTATACAGGGTCTCACTACATAGATTAGATTTGAAGTGACTCTCCTGTTTTCAGCCTCCCAAGTGCTGCGATTACAGGTGTGTGCCACCACGCCCAGTCTCAGTCAGTATCTCAGTGTGCCCTGGGGGCGAGACCAGCATGGCACACCAGGGATTGAACCCCAGCCGCTGTGCTTTTATAGCTTTAAATTTAGATTCTTAAACTGAAGCTTCTTGAAATAGATATATTCATATATTTTTATATCATACTTCTGAATGAATAGCATTATATCTGAATACCTATTTATATAATACAGTTCCACTCACGTACCCAAAGAAAGAATTAGTTGCTACTGGCATTGTTACTAATGTTACCACTATTGCTGGTAGTGCTGTTGGCGATGGAAGAACCTCTCTTCAGGGTAATGTATTGTTAAATTTTCATTTTAGTAATTTAAAATATTAAAAAGGCATCCTAGAATTTAATCTTTGTGTATGTGTATATGTTTGTTTTTTATTCTTTTTATTTTTTATTCAAAAATAGAAATAGTAAAGAACACACTAGAACTATACGGAATTTCACTAAACAGATGATAGGAGTTAGGCAATGGTTGTTGTATTGCATATTGTTGTCTTCAAATTAGTTGCTCAGATTACCAGATATAAGCATGCAAAATTGGTCAAAAAATTATAACAAATTTAAAGGAGAGAAAAAAATTTAAGCATTAGCTGCTCCTTTCAGTAGACTAGCAGAAATCAACAGTACAACTATCCAAGCTATCTTGTATATATACATATATATTTCTTTTCCTCTCCTTTCTCTCATCACATCCCAGTTCTGGAATTTAATCTTAATATAAATTGATAATAGATATGTAAAGAAATGTAGTGGTGATCCCCAGAAAATGAGGGAATGCTTTTTGAATTGGGGGAGGGGTCCACCCGGCTTCAGGGAAGTGGAACTTGTTGGGGAGAGCAGTGAGCCAGGCATTTCCAGAATTTGGACAAAGCTGCTGTGCTGTAACAGTTCTTTTAGTGTTTATGTGAGTCAGTAGGTGTTCGTAAATTCTCACAGTGCTCTTTCCTGAACAAACACTATCACTTGCAGCCTAATTTAAATAAAATAAAAATAAGCAGTAAACAATGAAATCGAAAATATAACGGTAGTAAATAACATGTGCAGATTTCATCGAGCGCACCTGTGAGCACATGAGAGCGCTGTGGTTGCATAGGTAATGCTGCGACACGGAATAAGCTTCGTCTTTCCTTATGAATCAATCTCTTTTTCATGAAAAGCAAGCTTGAGTAATCCTTTAGCCATGGGGTTCTGCAGTTCATTAGTACAAGATAGATCAGCCATATGTCAGGAAATGTAAAGGGCACTAAGACACAGTGTTTGGAGTTTAAAGAAGAGACAAAACGGTGTTAGCTTCTCCGTAAGGCAGTGGCTAATTGCCAGGACACTGGGGATAGGTGTTAACGATTCCATTCCCGGCAGCTCGTAAGCAGGCTCCAGCGTGGTTAGAAAAGATGTCATACTCCTTTCACACTAGACTAGGCCATTAAAAATCAAGTGCCTCATGATTCTGTCCCCACAAAATTTAACATTTAATCAGGACAATAGAAATAGCTGAGAGGTAGAAGGAAATAACGGGTTTGCTTTGGATTCACTTATTTACTGCAGCGTTTGCTGTGTGCATGTTGGATGCTGGGCCTGAGGTCTGGCTGCAAGGAGGCCGCTTCAGCTCAGACAGGGTCTGTCTGAGCTCACCGTCTAAGAGAAGAGAGAAACGTCTAAGCAATTACGATGTGGAATCACAAGAAGAAATTATGGTGCTGTGATCACAGGCTGTGCTGAGTAGATATTGAATAAAAACGAATGGTTGTTCAAGGAAGCAACCCTCCACTGAGCGCTTACAGAGGCGGTGTTTGAACTGTATGTGGAGACCAATTGTTATGCTGACGTACCACCTAGTGAACATCCTGCAGGATTCTTCAAGAGTGATTTACTCACCATGTTTAAAATTCAGTAATATAATCTAAGTAAAATACGAAAATAAAAAATTTAAGTTGTAAGACTTTAAAGTTAATCTATTTAATCACTGCAACTTATAATTTCTGTTAAAATCTAAGGCGCTGGGGCTGGGGAGATGGCTCAGTGGAATAAGCATTTCCCTGGCAAGCGCAAGGACCTGAGTTCAATCCCCCATTCCGCAAAAAAAAAAAAAAAAAAAAAAAAAAATCTAAGGCGCACTACATAATGTTTTTTAAAATCTGTTTATGTGGAATGAATATAAGATAAAGTGAATTAATTCTGATAGATAGACTAACATCTCAGTTCACTGATCTTGCTTCATGCCTTGGAAGAAAAGTCTATCATTGAGATATGCCTTTTGTTTTAGATAAGCTTACTGAGACCCATAGTAAGAATCAATTTTCCCTGCCAGTGAGTGTGCACATTGTGTGTGTGTGTGTACAACTGACACAAAGGTTGCATGAAACCACCCTTACTCTGTCTCATGCCTTTCCTTTGATATTCTCCAATGTAATGCTTTCTAAATGATGGTTACTACTCACTTAATTTTATAATTTACTCCTGGTCATGACGTGCAGTTTGGAAATCTCTGGTGTTCTTCTCACCTGTGTCTCTTTAGAGATCACCCTTACTGCATGAGATTGAAAACATTAAGTTGTGCGAGGCTGTCACTGTACATATTCTCATCTGTTTTACAGGCACTGGAGGAGTCTTGCTGGCTTCCTCTGCTTGTTGTATAAATTGTCGTTCAGCTACCCGCTGTGTACTCGCTAATTTTCATGCCGGTACAAGAGCGGCACCGAGTGCAGCCGTCGGTCATCCCTGCCCTTTGCTTTTTCTCCTTTGAATCGCTCCAGAGGCGCTCTCCTTGGTAATGGCTAGCACTTCTGTAGGGTGTTATGGGCCAGGCTAAGTGCCCCCCAGGTACTCATGCATTTCACTTGCCGCTGTATGAAGCAAGTTCTGTCATTCTCCACCGCAAGGTGCCTTGCCTACTGTGACACGGGTGGTGCGCAGGAGCCGGGGTTCTGCAGCAGTCGCGCCCCCCAGTGCTCCTTTACTTCTGATGACTGCTCCCTCGTCTGCCTCCCTCTCGTCTGACCTCTCTTCCTCCTCCTCCTCCTCCTCCT